CTGTGGTCGGTGCCCATAGCTGGGGGTGAGGAGTCTTACCTGTGGTCGGTGCCCATAGCTGGGGGTGAGGAGTCTTACCTGTGGTCGGTGCCCATCATTCCTTCCCTCCTCACGCCCTCTTGTCCTTGCTCCCAGGGTCTCCAGAACCGAGGGTGCCCTTGAACTGGCTGTGTAGCAGAGAAAGACCTTGAATGTCTGATCCCTTTGCTCCCAACTCCAAGGCTACTCCATCCATCCATCCATCCATCCATCCATCCATCCATCCATCCATCCATCCATCCATCCATCCATCCGCAGAGTCACATGGAGTCCAGTTGGGCTTTGAACTCACTCTGTAGTCAAGCCTGCCTCGGCCTCTCAAGTGCTGATTGCGGACTGAGCGCGCCACCATGCCCCCACCCCCTTATAATTTTTTAAAGGAAACAGGAGGGCCTGAGATGAAGGTTGATTGCGGACTTGTTTTCTATGCCCCTCTGAACACCCGCCCGAGAGACTCTTTGCATGTGGAACAATGAATGTGTGTGTGACTCCCACCTTGACTGGGTGAGCCTTGTTGTCTGTCACTCTTAAGAGCTCACCTTAGCTGGACCCTGGAGAAAGAGCGTTGTCCTTTCCACCCCAAGCCTCTTCACTGTAAGCCTGCGGGACTTTCTTCTCTTCCCTCTTCCTGAGTCCCTCCCTTCCTTCCCCGCCGCCCTACATCCCCAGGTTCAACCCCCGCTCAGGGGGAGGGGAGGGAGCGTCAGGCTTTATTTACTTGGGACCTCTCGGGATGCGGTCTGCGGAAACCTTTGTCAGGCGCCAGGTGACTGGCGGGGGCAGGTCACGGATGTGGGCGGGGCGCCCGGCGCCCTGGGGGCAAGTGTCGCGGCCGGCCGGGCGAGGGTGGCGCAGCTGGGTGGCGCTTGCAGCTTGCCACGCGCAAGGGCTGGGTCCCCGGAGGTGAGCGCGCACCCGGTGGGCCTCGGGTGGGCCGGGTGGCCGCAGGTGTGTCCCGGGAGTGGGGCGGGGCGGGAGGGCGAGTGGGCGGGCCCTCGCGGGACTGGACGCCGCCGACCCGTCCCGGGTCCCGCTGGAGCTGCGGCTCCGGCCACCGCACTTGCTCCGGAGGGAGGAGGCTGGAGTGGTTCCACACACGCCCTTCACAAGCCCCCGGGAACCTCAGGTAGTGTACAGTCTTTATGTTCCTTAAAATACGCGGCTGGTGCTTGGTTCAGGACTCTGACTTGGGGTCGCCCGCCGGCACGGAAAGGTTGCCACTAGTAAGGGACTGTTGGAGGTCGCCAGGGTTCCAGTAGGGAGCATGACTTGGGAGATTAGCGCGCAGGCTTCTTAGTTGGAATACCTGAGCTCCGGTATACTTATTAACCAAAAAACTTGAGCAGTTTGCTCAGCTTCTGTGCGCCGTGGATTTCAGGTATGTCAGATGATGGTGCTGGTACTTGTAATCTCCCTGGATTGTTGTGAAGATTGGGTTAATACTAGTGCCTGGCAACGAATGTTGGTTATTTTCGCTCTGCATTCTGATGAGCATGAATCTCTAAGGTTGTCATTTCTGGGAATCTGCGCCTCGCCTCAGAGCTGTTGTCTGAAGTGCTTGGGAGAGCCCTTTGAGACAGTGTTTGTGAACTGAGAACTAAAGGTTCTTTTCTCCAGTACTGATGAGGGTAGTCTGATCATCACCTTGAAATCAGTTCCTCCCTGAATGTTACAAACACCTCCTTTTTTCTTCTGCTGTGGTGCTTGGGATGGAACACCACCACCCCCGTCCCCAGCCCATGTCTGCCCATGAACTAAACTACACCCCCCACACACTCACAAAACTTAGTTTTGAAGACTATTCTAAAGGAAGGATGGAATAAGATACTTTTTAGGGTGAGTGTAACCTCATTTTGAGAGTCGAGGTAGATTTGTTAAAAACCAATTCTTATAACTTGATGCAAAACTTGTGTTGTTTGCAGTGAATGCATGTTTTGTACTATACTATTGCAAGAATGCATGAGCCAGAGCACTCAAAATACGTAAGCAGACATCATCTGAGCAATAGCTTGCCACATAGAAACAGGATTGAAAGAGATGTGGCAGACAGATGTGGTTACAAGAGTGGGCTTGTAACCTCTGCACTCAGGAGCCACAGGGAAAATTCAAGGCCAGCCTGGGCTTCATAGTTCAAAGCTAGACCTGTCTCAAAAAAAGGAGGGGGGGGATCTGAAAAGTCAGTCCTGCTGGTCTTTACAGATAAGGATGTGTCTAAAGACCTAGAACCGATGAACGGCCGAGTTTAGAGCTCAGCTCTGCTGATCAACAAATTATAAAAGCAAAGGAAGATGTTACTTAGCGTTTTTATTTCTGACAGTTTTATGGTGCTGTGAGTTCCTTCGCTCAGCAACATCCTGCTTGGTAGCTTAATTGCATGATTCATAATCATTCTTCAGCACCTTTGATTTAAATCACAAGTCTGGAAGTTGCTGCATCAGTTATTGCTTTGAGAACCAGATGATTGTCTTGAGCTTTGTACAAACATGTTCCAACAGTGCTCTGCTGTTGTTTCTCTGTGTGCAGAAGGGATAACCAACGTAAATAAACTGACCTCGTGGACAGTTTGTTATCACTGTGTCATGGGTGAAGTTGTCTCAGATTGGGTAGGAGACTGCCAGGAAGTGGCGATACCCAGAATGCCAGCCCTGAAATGTGAATGGAGAGGTTGTGTGGCAACAGAGCTGCTCACTTCAAAGGCTTTCAGAGTAAAATTGCTTTGAGATACTGGTGTGTTAGTTGCTGACTTCTGCACATTGCTCACTCCCTCACCTCTGGGTATTTGTTCAGATGTTTCCTTCTTATTTAAAATTGCACACAACCGCACACTTCCTATAACATATACTTACCTGTTTATCTAATTGCTCATCTGTCTGCCACTAGAGGCTCCGTGTGGCCCAGGCTGCTTACCCTTGCGTTCCCCGCTCTGTCCCGAGTGCCAAGAAGACACTGGATGTGCGGCTTTGAACCGATAACCTCCAGCACAACTAATAGTCACTTCAGCTAATGCACGACTCCTTGCCTTGCCTGCCGCTCCCCTCTGTCTTCAGTCACTTCCTTGTTGCTGAGGAGTAAAACTTGGAGGCAATGTTTAATTCCCCCATACCTTGCACTTCACAGGGGAAGAACTACTAAGTTTTTCCCACTTTTTTGTTGTTGTTGTTCAAACAGGCCACTCCACTGTTGTTAAGCCCTCTTCTGTTCCATCTCCAACAGCCACAGGCTTGCAGTTCCCCTTTTCCAAGGCTTTCACTTCTGCAGCTTGGAAAGCCAAGTGGTCATTCATCTTCCTCCGACATGGTGATCTCAAATACACTGTTTCAGCCTCAATGCCCTACAGATAGATAAAAACAGTGATCCCAACTTAGCCTTTTACATATGAAGGTTCTAGGGGCAATGCTTTGTAAAATCCCAAGATGAGTATTGATTGCTTCCTGATAGTTGTTTTTGTTAATGACTTGGTTGCTTTCCTCAGTGTGAGCGGGCATTCAGAAAAACTGACCTAGTAGCTAGCTATTCCCTGGCTGTGCAGAAAACCTCTGCTGCTCTCTCTCTTTAAAGTGCCCCACCCCCACCCTGCCCATGCCACTGCGCCCCCACATTCTGGATGAGTTTAGTTGGAGTTGGTTTACCCTTTGTCGGGGTTCTGGTGGTCGCTTTCCCAGAAATTGATCAGTCTTCTTTGACTTGTGATTCTTTTAGTGTTTTTCTTTTAATCTGCTGCTGCATCTAAACAGGACATGAAATATGCATGCAAAATTTCCATATTTTCCTTCTTTACATTTTTTCCAGTTACCTTTAAAGGAAACATGAGGCCGGTGTATCTGCTTTTTGAGTTAGTGTGAATTCAAGTTCTAATAGACCTTCAAACCGTTAAAGATGGACCGTCACAGCTTGTTTTGAGAGTAGGATCTTAGAAAGATGGCAGGGAAGTTGAGTAGGAAGGAAAAATCATAGAGATGAAAACATTGTGTTCAGGTTTTTAAGGGAGTGGGTGTAGGTAGAGCAGTATACTTTGGTGCATACCGGGCAGGCAGATGTTTTTAAAAATATATAGTGCTAACCTCACTCGGGAAGTTGTCGGGACATCTGCAGCTTTGGATTTTCTTGTGGAGTATTATTCCTAAACTGTGTTTTGTTTTTATATCTCTGGGCACACATAGTCCTGTTTCTCTGCTTTGTTTTCTGAGCTGGGTGGGATAGAACATTCTCTTCTTCTGTTTGGCTCTGACTTCATGCAACGTAATTTCTCTCTGTCTGTCTCCTCCCCACCCTCAGATATGGTCTCTGTGTAGTCTGGGGTGGCCTTGAAGTTCCCGTCCTCCTGCCTCCGACTCTTAGAGGCCCTGCCTGGCTTTGTTGATTTTAATCTTAAAATATGTTCGTACCTTTTTCTTCGTTGGTTTTCCTGTATGTGTGGAGAAGATACATCCCAGAGTTTTTATGTTATTGGAGGAGTGTGCTCACTACGGGTTTGTAGTTGAAGCTTATGGTTTGTGCTTGATACCAGCATTTGGTTTAACAAAGTCGTGTATGATTGTACATTAAAAATGTGTCTGTGTACATATTCCACTTGAGTCATTGTTTTTATTTTACTTGTGATGCTTTCAGAAATATACTTGATTCAAGAATTTAGTCAAGAAGCTGAAATAGGAGGAACTGGAATTGGAGACCAGGCTGAGTAAGACCTCCCCCCTTTAAGAACTTGAAACACTTCTGCAATTCAGTTTTTATCTCTTTTCCTGTTCCATCCCAGACTGAGCTTGATGTTTCTGTGTTGGGGTATGCATCAGCCCAGCTTTGTTCTTGAGTGTGAATATGGAGGCCGACATAGGTCTGGATTCATTTCACCTTTCCTGGAATGAAGCTTGCAGTTACCAATGCAGAAAAGAGTTACTAGGGAAAACTATATGTAAAGGTCTTAATTTTAGACATTTTACAACTTTAAATTTAGAATTTTATGTATTGCTTTGGCTAGTGGTATGGTTAGTAGGTCAAGACTTGAATCATGTACTGTAATTTCATTAAGTACTATAATTTCAATATGTAATAGGTTATAATTAGTGTGCTTTGAGGAATATCTTCAAATGTGATAACCAATAAAGCTTACTTTCAGGAGAAATTTTGAAAGCAAATACTTGTTCTGGAGTAAATTTTCCTTTCTTATACTACGTAAGCATCTGTGTTTATCCAAATCCTCCTTGTTTCTGGGATGCCTTTATTAAGGGTATGATGAAAACAGAATTCTCAGCACACAGGAAGCACCGTGCCAGTAAATCTGTTTTGAGGGAGCGTTTTATTAAGACACCACAGCCTAGTTGTTCGTATAATGAAGGGATTGATGGAGTAAAGAGGAAGAAAGTGCTGATTCAGAAGGCTGACCAAGCACTTAGGAGCTTCTGGTTATTAGAAGATCTTTCCAGCTCACTGTATGGCCAGAACTTCTGAGCATATCTCAGATTTAGCCCTAAGCTATTGTGGGAGGAGTCGGTAGAGGCAGGTTAGAATGGAAACAGCAGGTTGAAGTCTCAGCTGGTAGTTGTTGAATTTGTGTGGTTTGTGTTGGGGGAGGTGTGTGTCCTCCGTCTGAAACCTTCCGGTCCACACAGTCACAAACCAGCTTTACTTCAGGCCGCCCACTCTGCCAGTGGTTGCTGCCCTCCAGGTATGTCCTTCAAGTTCTGTGTGTGTTCACATCGGCCTGCAGACCTCTGAATG